GAAAATCAATAGTCTGTTGCAACAGCAATGCATACTAATTTCGCATAGTGCAGTTAACGCTATATATTTCTTATAAAAACTATGCAAAAATAGAGCAATTTTACTATAAAGGGACTTTCTTACAGGAAGTATAATAATACATAATTCAAATATAACATAAACATGTCAATCCATAAATAGAAGAAATACAATATTAATTTCAATCGGGACATGATATTAATATATATCTGCATAAAAGAATAAAAAAAAAACAATCCTGCTTTTCATATCTAGCTTTATCGTTATAATCAAATTGATGTATCATTTGAATGGTAGGTTTTTTAGAAATCATGAAATGTATTCGATGTTGGTCTAGGTGTCGTCGGGTCAATCTCGTAAATACTGGTGTCAAACAAATATTCTTAAGAGATATTCGTACATGATTTATAAACTTTAACACCCACATGCTCACCCGCAAACAAAACAACGGACATATTTTAGTAATAGATAATACATAGTTGTGTTCAAATGCACTTAAATTATGCATGCTGATTGACATGGTGTTTTCCAAGACACCTACATTTTATGCTGCTCACAAGGAAGCTATTAAACCAAGAGTTCCAAATGGTGAAGTTGAAATCATCCCATCGTAAATTTTACGGACGCCATCACGAGTTGGTTCACCGTTATGGAATAACCGTTTCACAGATGATATCGGATATGTTCCTTATGTCGTAACTACAATACCCTTCCCTTTTCACGAATGTTACCTACCGAATTAGACTATTTACCGGATTTGTAATAACATAAGCAACACGACGGGTGCCACATGTGGAGCAGGATCTGCTTACCCTTCCGGAGCACCTGAGATAACCCCCAGTTTTTGGTGGGGTTCGTGTTGCTAAGTCTTTAGTTTTCTATGTTGTGTCATCTGTACTATTATTTGTTTGTTTGTCTTTTTATTTTTGGCCATGGCGTTGTCAGTTTGTTTTCGATCTATGAGTTTGACTGTCCCTTTGGTATCTTTCGTCCCTCTTTTAATTGATATAGAAAGAACTCGTACAAATTAAGTGAGCAGCGATTCAATATTTTAACATAAATAATACGTTGGGGTAATTGTCTAGTAAATCATGGCATTTCAGTACAACCAATGTACAATTTTAGGATAGCTAATTCAAGAATATAAACACTGAACAATATTCAACGATTGACCGAACAACACAATAATTTACGAAAGCGAGAAGAAGAAAATGCAAGAAACTATATATTTTTTACCGCTTTCTCTATTCGTTTTAGTAAATTATTCCAACCTTAACAAATAAAATTATTATTATAATAAATCCACATGCAAAATGTCTTTTAAGATACCAGGCTTATAATTTAATACGTAAAACCGCGTTTCGTCTTGAAGCAAGGGATGATACATAATATGATGCGATGCCATATGATACTGCATGTGGGAATTTTTATGGGTGTTGTTACGGGTATTTTAATTTGTCTAAGGGCTTTGCAAAGGACTTAAGGTAGTGTCAGCTTTTTCTCTACTACACATACAGAACAAGATTTTGAAATAAATACTCCATATGATGGTGCTGCTGAAATGTTGCTACATGAAAAAGAGAACGTTCACATTAGGAACATTTAAGTCATCTCTACAATCGTAAAAGTAAGTTCCCAACTAACCCTCTCTCAGTTTCTAGATCTTTTGATGATTCAAAGACCAACATTTTAGTAAAATCACTGTATGATTCACCGGTTCTAAAATTAATAATATATTTGTGAACTTGTATCTAAGTTTGATATCGCCTAATTACCAATATGACTAATTTACAAAATTAAACAAGACATGGGTTAATAGTGAAGTAGAGACTGCTGAACTATCAGGATCAACTGAGTTCAAACTCGATTTTATTTATTGGATTTGCGATGCTCAATCTGTAATTATTTCGGTTTGTGACCTATTTATAAAGGACGCTTCACTATGGTAACAGCATGCATGATGTCACAAATATTTACTCTGATTTGACCAAATAATGGAATTGAACTAAAACCAACAAAAAAAATATATATATGCTATAATAAAAGGAAAACATTACGGACCTATCATCAAACTTAAAAATGAAAATTTCAAGATAAATAAAAATAGATTCAAGTAAAGAAGGCGTCATTATCACCACTGTCAAATTGTTTGGATTTTGTAGGCAGATGAGTAAGTATATATCACTGACATATAGCTTGAGTGCTATAACTATATCTTATCGACTTAAACTTCCAAGGTGTAACAATAATCTCAAAGAGTACAAAATAAAATACTTGTAATAAAGAATGTCAAAATACATGTATCGCAAATTTAATTACTTTTCAAAAGTTGTATTATATAGATCATCTCCCTTTGTCGTCCGTCCGTCCCAGATATACAGACCGAAATGTGTTGTATCTCTAATTGTTAATAACAGTTGTTCTTGACATATAGTTATAATTGACATTTCTTCATGGATCTAAACTGTTTCAAGTTTGTTATTCATTACAGATTGTAACCTGATAATATCTTATGTGTATGTCTTTTTCACAGCTATAGGTACTTCTTTATCTCGATCGTAAAAATACCTATGTATATATATTATATTTTCCTTCGAGTTTACGTGATCCGTTCATCCTATTTCGACTCTTTTAAGTTCAAGAGTATATCATATATTGAGGTAAATTATATGGCCTTCCAAATACCGTTTCGATCCCTAACATCACTGAAAAGACATTAATTGTCGAAATCCGGATATGGTGTACCAATTTTTGCACCTCATGTTTGTGGTATAACATCTTTTCCGTAAGTTTATTGTTTTCTGTTTGGTATTAAATTAATATTAAGATCGATTTTATGACATCTGGTGATAAATTTATTTGGTAATCGCCAATGGCAGTCAGCGTGGTTTAAGAACATCCGTTGTTCGACCTGTTAGTTAAATGCGTTTTGTTAAAATATACTTTTTCACTTTTTTGGTCTTTTGGAAAATGTTGTTTGTGCTGAATTTAGACCCCTCTACCAAGAAATTTGTTTTACATGCACACGTATAAAAATTGCGGTTTTTATCCAACGCAATCATAGGTCATACATATATATATGTAGGACTCTAAAGTGAGATGGTACTCTAAAGTGCGATGGTCACGCTAAAGTGCGATGGTCTACGCTAAAGTACGATGTTGCTTCACGCTAAAGTGCGATGGTTATTGGTTTGCTAAAGTACGATGGTATATCACGCAAAAGTGCAATGGACAAATAGTATAAGGTCCTATATAGGGCTAAAAACGTTAAAGTACATGGATGTTAAAAAAAGACTTTTTGCAAAAGCTAGTATTCAAAGGTTTAACATATGTGATAGGCTTCATAATTTACCGGAAGCTTAAGTGATTGTTTCCGAATTTAGAAGACCGAACACGTAATAATTGCTAAAAAGGTAATTTAGATGCGACAAAATAATATATTTCCTGTAAAATGAATTTTTAACAATTCGGGCGTATTAAATATTTGGATAATTGGTGTAGCTTGCAGTTCACACATCACTAATGTGAACACCTCCGTTACAGTCGTCATTGTAAATTACAAATACAAAATTCGTTCATTGTCGGAATGTGTAAAATTTAGTTGTATATTTAAATGCGAGAGAAAAGACGATGGTCGCCGAGCTTTTTCCCATTTTAGTAGCGAGTACAAATACATATAATATAGTTTCCTACAAACTGAATCTTAAGCTTTAGGCGACAATTTAGCATTAACGCTGGAAAACATGTACCTTTATTTTTTCCGACGTTACTTTTCAATAAAATCGACAATATTTTAACAGGGAGAACAAATTCAACTGCAACTCAAACAATGATTTTTAAAACAAAATGCATCCTTTCGCTTCCATAGAAGAAGGATACAGGATACTTAAGCGTATACTATTTTGTATCTATATAGTAAAATGGCCGACTGCAGGATACAAGTCCTTCTTCCAGCATCCAAAAAAAAAACACATTTGCATCAGCCGACAAAGCACGGTTAGGTCTGAAATTAAGTCATGGACATTTGCTTCAAAAGCTGTAAATCAAATATTCTTAATTTATCTTCCGGCATGTTTGTTTTTGGTTTGTGTAAACGACTGTTAACGTCATAATCCAACCCGCACTTTAGAGTCCTACATATATACATTTAGTTAAGTACCATGCAGTTTATATTTTAATTCTTTAGAGAAAAGCGCATATACTAAATTTTCAGAATTGCAACTATTTTCTGTCAAATTATGTGCATTTTTTAACTAAATTTCACTATGATAAAAAAAAACCTGATAAAGATTCATAGTTTGTTTTAAACTTTATATGCTCGTATCTGAATGCGTCAGATATCTTAAGGTTGTGACGAACTATATATTGCATTACTTTCTAATGTAAGTCGTGGTAATTTAACGATAATATCCACACTATAGAATAACGTTGGCACTGTGGATGGCAAGTTTCAATCATAAAATCATAATGAACCCCTCTAGCAAATCAAATGAATAATTGATGCAGTTTATCTTAAACCTTTGTAATTGATACAGTGTATTCATATTTAGATCGACATTTGTGAAGTTTGATTTTGGCACCATTGAAATTGAAATCAAGTTTCAGAACTGAAAAAGGACAAATTTAGATTACTGTAAAGTCAGAAATTATTGCGTGCATTTATTATTGCGATTTTGTCATTTTAGACTAAAATACAATTTTAATTTTTTAATTTTTGCGATATTGAGAAAATCCTGTTTAATTCATATAAAAAATTTCAAAATGCGAGTTTAAATTATTGCGATTATAACCCTGTCGCATTTGTCGCAATAATAAAAACATCGCAATAATTTCTGAATTTACAGTATACTGATCAACAAGGGTATTATCTAATGATCTAGGAATGCGTTAAAAGCATGATTTGTAGTATCCAAAGGGACCTTGGGATATAACATGCTGCGTTTCTATTAGTACTCAGTATGTGTAATGTTTTATATCATTACCTGGAAAATTTAAGTTAATTGTTGTTTTCAAATCGTTCACGGAACACTCATATAAACCAGCATCACTAATTTCAACCTTCACGATCCTCAAGTCATACTCCCCAGCACTATGGTTACCAGTAATGAAAATACGACTAGATAAAGCATCTGGCAAATTCGAATTAATACTACATGACTGTGAATAGACTGTGTTGTTTTTGTATGGTCCTTTCCAGATAACTTTGTAGGTTTCAGTTGCTTTAAGTGGGCATTTTAATAAAACATTGGAACCTTGAACTTCATATATGTTTATATCTGACCATACGCAACAACCTGAAATAAGAATACACTACCAGGTAATGATTAAAGTTTACACGAAGAGGAATACATTGTATATAATTAACTGTTAAGTGTAAGCAGATAAACAAAATATACACTCGGCTAGGCATAAAAAATAAGACAATACGAAGAAATGAATAATTTTAAAGTCAGCGTTGTACAGAATACCAAGACTGAGTAATACGAATAGCACAAAACCAGGTGGAACTGATGTTTTCCAAAAAGGTATGCATGTTTGTATATGCCAAATAACGATCTTGAAATAAGTCATGATGTAAGAAAATTAAAAGTTAACCATTAGAACCTATTAGTACTGTCATTTCTTCATATGCAACAGACCTCTTTTAAGAACATTTAGATAGAAAACAAACTTTTCAAAAACAAGTAATACTATTTCATTTTGAGATTTTTAGAGATAACGGAAAAAACCTTCTCTGAGATATTGTGTGTCCTATATTTTTTAATTATAGGATGCAAACACTATTGACTTATTGAATTTTTAAATGTATTTTCATTTAGAAGTAACAAAATATATATGAAGTGTAGGCAAAAGTTGTATTCCAGGTAACCAAGAGAAAACTACTATAGGATTTAGTTTGAAAATATTTCATATTTTACAAGTGTTATGCAGTCGTCCACATAATGCCTCGGTCTAGGTTTCTTTTCTCCGTTTGTCAGTTTGTTCATATTTTAAAATTTATGTTCATTTTCAAGTTAGAGCAGATCACTTTAACCATCAATTTGATGAATATAAACGTGTAATTCTCAAATTATAAACAAGAATATATTAGTTATAGACTAATTGAACAGCAGATCAATAAAAAAAAGAACCGAACTACATGTGGAGGTTATAAAGGTTATCTTACAGTCTTCAACAATATACAATTGCATAGTTCTTACGAGTCAAGACAAAATGTTAATTTAATTTAAATAAACAAATTCACAAATTCATTTGAAAATTGTTAATGCATGTAGTTTACTCACCACAAACTAACAACAATGTTGTTACAACGATAATCCTCATTTTAAAAATACGTTTCGCAGAATAAAAGGCACACAAAAATCTGCATTTACCAATAATGACACAACCTGCAATAAAGTCAATAAAACAATCAATAGTAATGTTCTAAAGTTTTGTTTAAAAATACGCAGAAGAATTTTCCGATATGAGCTTGTTTCAACTATAGTCGTAAGTACTATTTTTATTTTTTTCTTAATTTACATGAATATATATACATTTTTATAGCAAAAATAAGTGAAAACTATGACCAATTTTTCATCTAAACAAAGTAGAGATGCTACCGTCTAAACTTTTGACAAGTATATTTCTCTTATGATGGAAGTAGATTTCAAACGAATTTGCTGTTTTCTATCTGAAAATGCACAGAATAACACAGAATGCAGTCCGAAAAGTTCATATCTTTTTAAAAAGGGTTCAAAATTTTGAAAGTACTGGATACATAAAACTAAGAACATGACATTCCTAATCAATTTGCGCATTGCATTCGAAGCCATGCGGCGTCTGACATTTTACTGCAGTCATCAACAAATGTCTTGACTAATATTTTTGCGACTTAAATAGCTTGGTGGCAGCACATTGCATACACCAACATAAACAAAATGTAAAGACGTGTTGAAGTTAATAGTCTACATGTTATAATCTGTATGATTTAATCTAAATGGTGCATCAAATATATCTGAGGAAAGCAGTTGTACGGAATAATGTTTAAATTCCACATCTTTCCAACCTGATGGCAAATAAGAGTAAAAGGGTGGTACATGTTAACTGAATTCAATGCCAAAATACATTGGTAATAACAAAACACGTTCACTTAAAAAGACGTAAGCTGAAATAATGTAGAAATGCGATTCTAAATATTTACAACACAAGGACAGAGGGCACAAGGAACTGGTAGAGAATGACAATACCATCTGAACATGCAAGCTACGGAATTTGTTGATAAATAATAAAATTATATAGAAATAGTTTGATCCCTGTTCCATAGAGCAAATTATTGATATGCACAAAAAAAGTTAAATCACAAAAATACTGAACTCCGAGAAAAATCCAAAACGGAAAGTCCCTAATCAAATGGCAAAATCAAAACCACAAACACATCAAACGAATAGACAACAACTGTCATATTCCTGACTTGGTACAGGCATTTTCTTATGTAGAAAATGGTAGATTGAACCTGGTTTTTTAGCGCTAAACCTCTCACTTGTATGACAGTTGCATCAAATTCCATTATCTTGACAACGATGCGTGAATAAAACAAACAGACATAATAGATAAAAATGTAAAATAGGGGTACAGCAGTCAACACCGTGTCACAATCTTAATCACAACAAAAACGAACAAATATTTAACAAAGAAGTACAAAAAAGCATATATTACATTTAACAACCTCGTTCATTGCTTACTTAAAAAGATGTGAAGGGGTTACCTTAATGTGACAGTGTACTTTACTAATTAGATAAAACCCGAACATATATCTAGATAATGACCACCAAATTTCAAATACACTAAGATATAGTTTCAATACAGTCACATACAATGTTCGTGACTATGATATGCGATGTTTTATGTACATGCTCCTATTACGCATCTCGATCACTGAAATAGCAACGTCATTTGCTGTCCCTTGCTGGGAAGAAAATTTAAGGATTTGTTCATTTTGGTTTTTTGCATTTATTGAACCAAATGAACTTTGCATCTTTAGAAATGGTGAAAAGTTGTTACAATATACAGCATTGTAAAGTTTTAACAATCAATTTTCATAAATCATACATTAATTAGGATATCATAAATAAAACAATCATTTTGCTGTTTGTGATCAATCAATGTATTCAAAAGTACGACATGGTGTCAGTCTATGAACTCAGAAGACATTTTTGCTTCAGACATGATAGCTATATGCACGATGAAGTTTCATTCACACTTATGAAATTGAAATCCCATTTGCAGTATTTACTTGTTAACTTTCAAATTGTCTTTAGTGGATTTAATCCTTTTCTCTTACGTCAGTATATTGTTATATATGAGCTGCGTCGCAAAGAAATTGACCTTATGCAAGTGCACGTTTACATGTACATGTATAAGACTTTGATTAATTTTGGAACCTTCGAATACAAATTTATAGACGAATGTTGGTATGTTTTGTAGGGTTCTTTTATCAATTTTCAAACAATTATACACTTTGAATAGAGATTTTGTCAGCACAAAATAGGTTACCAGATGTATTGATATTTATTTGCATCAGGTCGATTGCTTTCGGACAAAGCTATTATGTATAAAAATAAACAGATGTGGTTTGATTGCAAATAAAAAAAAACTCAACCAGAGTCCAAATGACGAAGAAGTTAGCAAGTATTGGTAACCTAACGGCCTTCGTGTAGATTATCAAGAAGCCACTGACTACCGTGTAAACTTTTACTTACGAATTTGTTACCTGACAAAAACGAATTCCTTATTCAGAGTTCGAACTTGAGCGATATTTCTTTAATAATCATCGTAGTTTTCGGCCATTTGGGTTTCGATTTATTTCATTGTTGGCGTAAACTGTAAATAACTTTAGGGAGATAACGACCAGATTTGACCGTTCTAAATCAACACATACGATCATAATGGCAATTTAACGAAAACCTTAAAGCAGTATAATTGTTTAGCAATATCAGAATATATAGAATAACAATGAGCGGACAAATGTATCAAAATGCTTCTATAAAAAACGTTTTTCCAAATATCAAAATTTAAATATAGACGCTATAAATAAAGGCTACAGTAGTAAATGCTCTTATAGTAAAATATACGGTTGTTTATATAAGATTACAATTTGTTTTATTTTAGTGGTGATTTAAAGAGATGTTTAAGCCATAAAAATATTGATACTTTTAATGATTTTTATAAGCAAAATGTTTTACCTCGCAAAATAAGGTAAGCACTATTAAAAGAAAATTATTTCAAATTTCTAATTTTCTTTCAACTTTTTCTGTAATATTTGTAATGGTGATTTGATACGGTTTGATATCTGTGATTTAAAAACATTATAAAGACCAAGATAAGATTTTTCGACAATCCCAAAATATAACAAAGGCTAATATTTTTGGTTTTTGAGAAAATGAAGATCAATACTGGGGTTCGTGGTGTTGCTTAGTATTTAGTTTTTTAAGTTGTGTTTGTATACTGTTTGTCTTTTGATAATTTACCATTTTATGCCATGGCATTGTTAATTTGTTTTCGACTTATGAGTTTGAATAGCCCTTTGATATATATCGCCTCTCTTTTGCCACCAAATTTGAAATGCAGTGACAAAATAAGGAAATAATTCTGACAAAACAAATGTTTCTCTTTTGTATCTCTTAACAATTTAAAGGCGACACAATGTTTGATAGGTTAATACATGTATTATTTAATTTTTCCTATTTTTAAAATTTAAAAGTCCCGTGAATAGATTATGTTATTCAACATCTTTACAAAACTAGTTGGTACAAGTCTTGTATTAAGGGCATACGATACAGTTTTGATCCCACGGTGAATTGCTTTACGAAAATTTGCATACAAGCTATTTTTCACCTAATCAATTCAATTATGTTATAAAACAAATACCTTCATGTGCTAATATAAGAGATAAATGGGGTCGAAATTTTAGACATTTACTAAATATTTCGGTTTGTTGGACATTTCTATCCCTTGGATAGACATACCTAACTTTTTTGTTTAAAAAAATAAACAAAACGGATTTTTGTAAAAACATTTAGAAAATCTCCTCTACATAAGTATGCTCTAAATTTGTATAACAATTCTTTGGAAATAATAAATTTTTATCAAAGTTTCATGATTTTAGAAAAAAAAACGGCATTTTTTTGCTGTATATTTATCTAATCTAAAAAACAATAATTGAAATACAATTGTCATGTACATCCCTTTAATTGCTTCAATTTTCACGATTGAACAAATAGGTGCATGGTTTAATGTGTAGATAATTTTAAAGAAGTAGAAATCTGACTTAGTTTTCAATATCTAGCTCCCTATCAACCTTAAATTCATTGTATATATAGAAAAGAAGATGTGGTATTATTGCCAATGAGACAACTCTCCACAAGAGACCAAATGACACAGTAATTATTAACTATAGGTCAACGTACGGCTTCAACAATGAGCAATACCGCACAGTCAGCTATAAAAGGCCCCGAAATGACAATGTAAAACAATTCAAACGAGAAAACTAACGGCCTAATCTATGTACAAAAAATGAACGAAAAACAAATATGTAACACATAAACAAACGACAACCACTGAATTACAGGCTCCTGACTTGGGACAGGCACATACATACAGAATGTGGCGGGGTTAAACATGTTAGCGGGATCTCAACCCTCCCCCTAACCTGGGACAGTGGTGTAACAGTACAACATATGAACGAACTATAAAAATCAGTTGAAAGAGGCTTAACTCATAAGATGGATAAAAATACAAATACTACAAATACAAGTGGACGTGGCCGGGTACTTGTACATCCAAACAACAAAAAGACACTAAGTAAAGATCTGAGAGTACTCGCAGTTACTGACAGCTAGTTCAAAGCCACTAACAACTAATAAAAAAAATCATGCATCTAAGAATAAATTATCAATCCGTACACATCCAACATCCAATGGATTTAGTGTAAAGACGTCATAAACAGTCAGAGAAAAACAACACCTTGTGCAATGCCAAGATACAGGTATCGACAGATTGTAGATCCATGAATGTGTATATGTATATAACAATAATATTTAGTTTGCTTTTAATTCACTGATAACAAAATCAATATTAGTACCAATAAAAACAATATTTATTGATCTAATTACAGTGTTGAATCGGTAACCTTTTAGAATAAGTTTATTTAAAGGATCGATAAGTTTACCAGGATCGTTTCTAAATTCCCGGGCACGGTAAACAATATTGCCGTAAAAATGAGGATGTGCAATCCCGTTTGAAATAAGTTTTCTACAGGTACAACCAAACTATAAAACCTAATCTTTATATCTGTGGAAGAATTTAGTAAAGGTTTAAGTAATTTGTGGTAACGAAATCCCTGGCTTAATAATATACCAGTAATACATAGATTACGTTGGTTAAAATCAAAAAAGTCACAACAGTCACGGGCATAGCGAACGAGTTGTGAAATATAAACACCGTAAGATGGTGCCAAAGGAACATCACCATCCAAAAAGGGAAAATTAACAATAGGGAACGAAAAATCATCCCTTTTGTCGTAAATTTTAGTGTGGAGTTTCCCGTGAGAAAATTCTTAATTGTTTAACGAAAAAATATCATCAAGATAACGGTAAGTGTTGTTGAATTGATCAATTGAATGCAATTAAGACGGGTCTTTACTGTTCCTTTTGATTCAAACCACATATCTCTGTCAAGTATTATGTCCTTGTATACTTCAGATTTTTTTTCAGTTAAACAATTCATAATTACTGCATAATTTCATGTAACTTGATACTGCATGATAAAATTGCACGTGTAAAATTATCAATTGTTCAAGTGAAGTATCTGGTAACATATTTATTTTGACGTTACCTCATAAACAGCAGTGTTGTCGACAAAATCAGTAAAGTCCTAGTCGATTATAAAGTTTGACACATTTCTTATCCCACGAAAATTAAGAATAACATTTCAACATGATTGCTTCAGCTTGTATAAGGAAACAATATGTATGAAACTATCGTAAGTGCTCAACGAACTTATTGTTATTCGATCACATGCAACAGAACAAAAATCCATGAATTAAAGTCATATGAAACAACTAAGAAAAGTGAATACGTTTTATATAGTTTTTTCTTGGATGGCTAAGTGTTACTATAGAACAAGTGTACGTTAACTTTCTTGTAAAAAAAAAATCCTTTATATCATTTAATTCTTCATAAATATACTGATATTGAATTATTGTCTTCCTGTATACTATTTCGCCGATATTTTCCCGTATGCAGTGACTTTAACTTCATGACCTCTCGTTAGAACTTTGGCTACCGCACAGCGCAAGTGCAAGGGAAAAAAATGATGAAATAATGTAAACAAATGTGTACTGGAAGGTAAAAAGTAATAACTGAATATGAAAGAACAAATCTAATACAACAAACCATTTAACAACTGTTCAGGAAAAGTTTAAGTAAAAAATGGGAACGCATGGAAAATGTAAAAAAAAACAAATATCATGGCTCTTTCACTGCACTTTTTTTTTGTCACGAGCTCCACGTACTTTGTGTTGTTTGATTATCAATGTCACGATCCGGTAAACTTCGGCAAATATATGGAAACAGGAATGCTAACAAAAACAACAATTAAATACTTGTCAATCCAAGAAAACCCTACTGAAAACAAACACACTATTTGAAAATCTGTCAGTAACAATCAGAATGACAATCGAAAAGCAGAGGTCAAAAAGTAGGCTAATAACCGAAACCTACTACTTCAATCATCTAAAGCAAAATTTAGTTAAAATAAAAATATCTGGAATATGTGAACTCTGTACCAAAGCCGAAGAGGATATTAAGCATTTTTTGCTGGAATGTGAATCTCTGGAAAGTGTAAGACATGAACAAACTACTATTTTTAAGCATGCTGAATGGGAGAGATGGTTAAGCTAATTATAAACAGGAGGATGTGCTTCAAATTATAATGGACTGCTCAAAGTTATCAACAACTATCTTATCTCATTTAACAACAGATGACCTTATAAACATAGAAAAACATTCTCAAAATTTCTGTCACCAAATTCATAAGAAACGCATCGGACCACAATCACAATGATACATTAATCAGAGGCTGAATTGAAACGGTTGAAACATCTAAGTACCTTTCTTCCATACCCCCAACAATGTGAATTTACATTTAAACAGAATCAGTATTACTGTATCGGACTATCCTATAGCAATAGTACAGCTAATGCCTATGCTTACATACTAATACAATGCATATACAAAATAGGAAAGATGAACCAAGCAGTCTGCATGGTACATGTATATTAAGCTAACTGCTTCCATCTATGACTAGATCTGCTGCTTGCATCTAATTATATGCTTAGACCTTGACAGGGGTCACAATATTTCCAAATTTTACGACATATAATAAATTTATAGTTACTGATATATTTTATTTTTGGCTATCTCGTCTCAAGTTGATACCATACTGACTTAATTTATTCACTTTCTTTCTTTGTTTTACTAAACTTTTTTTCGGTTTTTATTTTTATATTTTACTCAATTTTACTTTTTGAACAAATGGTATAAACTTCCCTTTGTCTCATTAAAATAAGCTTGAAGATTCCTACAATTTTAACCTAGGTAGAACTATAAATGATGTTAATAGCACATAATTAAAAATACTTGTTTTAAAATCCACAGTTCTCATCTGTATATAAAACTATTAAATTTTAGCACCCCATCACACTATGTAAATATCTTTGTAAATATTTGTCAAGTGTTAACCCTATATCCCAAGTGGGAGTGCTCCGATATACAACAGAGGATCATACGTACAGAACAGAACCACAATCACTGAATGAAATGTTATTTGTCGCTAATACGTTATAGATTCGTAATAATTATAAAACAAACGTGCATACAAGACTAAGTTTAGTATATATGCTTACATTGGTTCAATAATTTCGATAATTTCGATAACATCAAAATGTAAGGAAAACGTTTCATATGACTTTAAGGTGTAGTGTTTACATGCTACGTTTCAACTTATTTGTAGCCATGTGTACACAAAACCCAGTAGTCAGCACTTCGATGTTGACATGAATATCAATTATATGGTCATTTTTATAAATGTCCTGTTACAAAACTTTGAATTTTTCGAAAAACTAAGGATTTTTTTATCCCAGGAATAGATTACCTTAGCCGTACTTGGCACAACGTTTTGGAATTTTGGGTCCTCAATGCTCTTCAACTTTGTACTTGTTTGGCTTTATAACTATTTCATGTATTTTGATCTGAGCGTCACTGATGAGTCTTATGTAGACGAAACGCGCGTCTGGCGTATTAAATTATAGTCCTGGTACAAAAAAAATGTACCTTTGATAACTATATATCAATCAAATTAATCATACATGGATATTTGTGTAGTATTTAATCTGTTAATTCAAATAAATATTTGATTGATATGATCTTATTTGTTATGATAAAACATGTACAATACGCGTTAAAATTCATACAAGTCTATATAAAACAACATTGCATAAATGTCCAAATTCTTTCGTATAATTTAAATCTGTTTTGGTCGTTTTATCTTTTTGAACATTTCATTTTGTCAGTGAAAAAATCACATTTAAAGAAAGCTGGTCAATACATTTGGACAGCATATCATATTAGACGTATATAACGTGTACCTACATGGCGCCTTTTTCGCATGAAACAATACAAATTAAATAAAAAAGACACATGAAAATACATTTATCAATGTTGTAACACACAATGAATATAGGAAATATTTTTATATCAAGTGTCTATACTGACCTTCTAAGAATTAAATATCCGGGTATAAACATCACAAACAAATATCAAAACAGTAATTAGATATGATTATCGGGTTATAAGATATGTATTGATGCTGTTGTGTATATCCATTAACAAATCTGCCAGTCATCCGCATAATTGAGAAATATTGATGCAACTTTAGTTTTATAAATGCCCAGAATACATTTAAGGTTACCCGTACCAATTGTGTAACATACACAAAGTAAATCGAACAAATCGATTAGTTAACCTATTAACTGAAGTCGATAGGTGCATTTCGAAAGACAAAAAACAAGATCATTAGAGGAAAAAAGTGGATAGTGCAAATTTCGAAATTAATGCGTGCATTTATTATTGCGATATTTGAAGATTAGACAAAAGTGCAAAATTAATTTATGAAATTTCAGCAAAATCTGTATCACATATCACAACGCGCGTCCTTATGTTGCGATACTCCCTCAGTCGCATTATTCGAATAAATAAAAACCTTGCAATAATTTCTGAATTTACAATAGTCTTCTTAGTTTTCTATGTAGTGTTTTTAAACTTGTTTGTCGTTTCGTCGTCATTCGGTTTTTTCTTTGTTTTGTTTTTTTTTTTATTTTGCTTGACATTGTTTATTCCCCGCAGTTTATTCCGCCCCTTTTTGCGTGAGGAAAGATACTTCAAATCTATTTTAGTAATATGAACTTAGACGAAGGGACAGACGAACGACGGAATACCATTTCTCTTTGATATTGAAATTTTCTTTCAGACATTGTTTAATAGGAAGACATTCACGATTTTTCAAATGTTAAATTTAAGACGAATAAAAACAAATTATCTTTTGTTTCCAATGTCATGTATATCTTAATTTCAAAAAAAGATTCAAAAGAGGGACGAAAGATACCAGATGGACAGTCAAACTCATAGATCGAAAATAAACTGACAACGCCATGGCCAAAAATTAAAAGACAAACAGACAAATAATAGTACAGATGACACAACATATAAAACTAAAGACTAAGCAACACGAACCCCACAAAAAACTGGGGGTGATCTCAGGTGCTCCGGAAGGGTAAGCAGATCCTGCTCCACATATTGCACCCGTCGTGTTGCTTATGTTATTACAAATCCGGTAAAATACATGAAATGAAATTTAATCGGAATTTGTTGTCCAATGTCACTTTACGTATTTCTTCTCAAAATATTTCGTAATAAAAAGTAAACCAAACGGCTGGTCCTTTTAGTAAGTTTTTTCATACATCATTAACGAAATTGACCTTTATATGGAAACAAAATCTCAGAAAAGTGTCCTATCTTTTATGGTATAGTCGGATTGAATATTTTTTCATTTTCACATCGATAACAATAATGTATAATAGCTTATAAATACGTAAAAATAAAAACCTTACTTTATATTTTATATTACAACTACTGTCTTAGTATTGTTGTTTTTTGACTATCATGCGTTTAGGGCATCATTCAACAAGCAGCATGTTTCACTACTGATAATATTTTATGGTGTATTTTTATTGTCAATAATGAAGGACAATGTGCGCCAAGTACCGCAATTTAGCTTATGTATGGGCTTAATTTTTTCTAGGGTAAAACTGTCAGAATCAGTTCTTGGGAAAATAAAGGAAACGGTAGTTTACAAATGTGCAAATTTCTAAAATCGATTAAGATGAAGCAAATCAAGGTAACAAAAAATTGCGGGAATCATATGAACTCCAAAAGGAGCGAAACCAGATACGACGACAGGATATGCATCTAAAACTGTTCTTGATGTGAACTGTCAAATAAAATTATCATATGTACTGATTGATATTATAGTTTTAGATGCATGATTTTTTGTTAGTTATTATTGGCTTTGAACTTGCTGTCAGTAATTGCGAGTACTCTCAGATCTGTACTTAGTGTCTTTTTTGTTGTGGGTATTTATTAGTACTCTGCCACGTCCGGTCTGTGTTTTTGTTAGATGTATTTCTGCTTTGTATCGATCTGATGAGTTAAGCTCTTTTCACCTGATTTTTACAGCTTGTTCTTATGTTGTACTGTTACACCCCTGTCCCAGATTAGGGGGAGGGTTGGCGCCTTTAAATTAGTGTAACCCAGCCACATTATGTATGTGCCTGTCCTAAGTCATGAGTCGGTGATTCAGTGGTTGTCGTTTGTTGCTAGATATCATATTTGTTTTTCGTTCATTATTTTGTACATACATTAGGCCGTTAGTTTTCTCATTTGAACTGTTTTACATTTGTCATTTCGGGGCCTTTTATAGCTGACAATGCTGTATGGGTTCTACTCATTGTTGAAGGCCGTATGGGCACCTATAGTTGTTAATTGCTGTGTCATTTGGTCTCTTGTGGAGAGGTGTCTCATTGGCAATCATACTACATCTTCTTATTTTTAAAATCATCATAGATACCAGGATTAAAATTTTGTACGCCAGTCACATGTTTCGTCTACAAAATTTTTATCAGTGACGCTCGAATAAAAAGGTTAAAAAGGTCAACTAAAGTACGAAGTTGAAGATAGATGTGTGAAGATGTGGTATGAGTGCCAATGAGACAACTCTCCATCCTAGTCAAAATTTATAAATGTAAACCAATATAGGTCAAGGTACGGTCTTCAACACGGAGCCTTGGCTCACACCGAACAGCAAGCTATAAAGGGCCCCAAAAATTACAAGTGTAAAACCATTCAAACGGGAAAACCAACGGTCTAATCTATATAAAAAAACGAGAAACGAGAAACACTTATGAACCACATCAACAAACGACAACTACTGAACATCAGATTCCTGACTCAGGACAGCACAGAAGACCCTAAAATACCGAAAGGTTTTGCCAAATAAATCTAAGGTAGTCTATTCCTATTCCTAGGGTCGAAAAGGTTTTGTAAACAGGTCATTATGACATATCAATGATAATTCATGATATCATATAGAAAGTGTTCTATTGATGAACTGCAAAAACTGTTCTAGGGTACACCTGTCAAACAATGTTTTAAAGAAGAACGGCTTCTGTCAAAAACTGATCTAAAAGTTCCAGGAGAACTGTAATATATACTGTTCTATAACAGCTTTACTTCACCAGCCCTTTCCTGGGAGATTTCAAGAGTATTTAGTACAGATCCGAATAGGTTTTTTCGTAAAACTTTCATTTGTTAAAAAGAAAAAGAACACTTAGCACCCTTTTCCTTTATTTTGATACATGTCAATACCCAATGTAGCAAATACCTCAAGCATGGTAGAGCTTAAACAATAATTTATACCCAGTGTTTTTTAAAGCCTTTAGTTTTAATGTTAATAAGCATTCTGAGAGTATTGCATGGCAATACATAGTCCCCTACCAGTTAAAAATTCATTGTACTGGAACAAAATTAATCTTTAACTTGTATTGATGTAAACTAAATAACCAATATCAAGTCAATATCTTCAAGCATGACGCAAAAAAATGTGGAAAACTGATTATTTAAGTGAATTTTCAGAGTCCAAGGACCATAACTCTGCACAAAATCATCAGGCCGGAACAAAATTTGATTTTGATCTGTAACTTGTCATCATTAAACTATATACCAATTATCAAATCAATACCTTCAAGCATGACAAAACAAAGGAGGAAAGCTGATTATTTGAGTGAATTTTCTAAGCCCAATGATCATAACTCTGCACAAAATCATCAGACCGAAACAAAATTCGAACTTGATCTGTAACTTGTCATGATAAAACTATATACCAATCATCAAATCAATATCTTCAAGCATGACAAAAAAAAAGTGTGGAAAACTGATTATTTGAGTGAATTTTCTAAGTTCAAGGACCATAACTCTGCGCAAAATCATTAGACCTGAACAAAATTTGAATTTGATCTGTAACTTGTCATCATAAAACTATATACCTATATATATACCAATTATCAAATCAATATCTTCAAGCATGACAAAAAAAAATGAGGAAAGCTGATTATTTGAGTGAATTTTCTAAGTCCAAGGATCATAACTCTGCACAAAATCATCAGACCGAAACAAAATTCGAACTTGATCTGTAACTTGTCATGATAAAACTATATACCAATCATCAAATCAATATCTTCAAGCATGACAAAAAAAGTGTGGAAAACTGATTATTTGAGTGAATTTTTTAAGTTCAAGGACCATAACTCTGCACAAAATCATCAGACCGGAACAAAATTCGAACTTGATCTGTAACTTGTCATGATAAAACCATATACCAAATATCAAATCAATATCTTCAAGCACGAAGAAAAAAAAGTGTGGAAAACTGATTTGCCGGACTGACGGATGGACAGACAGACGGACGGAGTGCAAACCTAAAGTATCCCTCGACTTTGTCGGTAGGGGACTAAAAGAAGAATAGTATATGCACTCTACTTCAAATTGTATTGGTGTAGGGGGCACATAATTTGATATAGTCAATCATCGGCCATCAATTTGTCATAAAATATAACGTCATAGTTAAAAAATAAGAAAGCGCGAATACGGTCTCCAACTACGGACAAGTATATATACGGCTTATAGAACCCTGCTTAAATGGTTGGATTTATTTTAGCATTACATTTTGTTGATATATGTAATATAAACTATAAATGGCAACCTTATAAAAAATATTAAAGACAACGAGTATTTTTTATACTTTACTCTGTTCTGTGTTTGCACAATGTTTTCACCTTAATCACTGACAAAACATTTTTCTAAAAGTTTGACTGTATTATACAACTACTGACATATATACAAATAACGTGACAATGTTGCGATTAGTAAACAAATGCAATACAAAGTCAAACACAATGACTTCGAACAATAATTTATACAAATCTAGCAATTACCTGTTTAAACCCGGAAGAATATTGAACTGTGGGAATATAATCTTTATGGTTAAAAACTGTTTAACTATTTTATAAGTATAGCATTTCTTAATTCCCTTTTAAAAGAATATTTAACTGCGAGATATGTAATCTCTATATTTACTCATTTTCTTAACCATTAGATTTCAATACTCCCTGTGGAAAATGTATGAAAAATCAACCTTTGTCAATATCAATATAAAATTGAGAAGCATTCGTAAGTAAGAACGAAAACTTCCGACATAAAAATCCAAAACCACATTCTTATAGCAAACAAAATAAGTTCTAAATTGTCCCAAATCTACAAAAATTGTTAATAAAAGTAATAGACAATACCCTATAACATTTAACTCCACAGTTTTAGTTTTCACATAAATGCAATGAATAATTATGTCTACCTGCTTTAATCCAAAATGAAGAAGACAAAAGTTTCATGCGCCAAATTGGGAAGGAAACAATTTCATAATATACATAGCCTTTACTGCAAAATTGTGTATATCATAGTTTAAATTTTATACTATGTGTAATCAAAGCATCAAATAAATAAAAATAGATGGCACATGTATAGAGAAGCATTTAAATGTTGTTAAAGATTTATTATTTACTCATCAAAACTTACCTTTGTCGTTACAGATAATCCATATTTCATAAGCAAATCGTATGCTTTTCGGAAACAAATAAGCTGCATTTACCAATCTTTTGTCTTAAAAAAGACAGTTTAAAACTGAAAAAAAGTTCCGTATAATGTAATAAAATCTTATTTAAAAGCAGGAAGTATCTTGTAACCTTGATATTAAATGACTTTTTATGAATAAGATAAAAAAAATATCGAATAAAATCAATTGAAATTTTAAGTAAGTTTATACCAAGAGATAAAAAAGATACACACAACAGATAAATCAAACGATAGTCCTTAAAAAAAACCACAAAAACTAAAAAGTGACCGACAGAAACCCTTACAAAATGGGACGTGAACTTCTCCAGAAGGGTAAGAGGTTCATGCTCCACTAGTGGCTCCTGTCGTGTTGCTGATGTCTTTAAAAATATTTTATATTAAGTAGCTTTTGGTGATGGTCCTTGAAAATCACATAAACCGCTATGCAATTGCATATCCTGGATTCAATAGCTTCACATAAACTAAAACCCTATATCAACGTAATTACTTACAAGGCCTGGAATATCGCATCAACCTAAAGATATAGACTCCGTTTGTATGTTGATTGCTGAAATGTTGCTTTATAGAAATGGAAAGTTCACAATTTGGTAGCTGAAATCAGTTGTTATGTACACGACGAGGTCTTTCCCCTTTAATTTACCTTGGAGTTCGGTACTTTTGTTTATACTTTTTTGCATGTGATAACTTGGCAAAACAGTGGTAAAAAGAAAATTATAAATAATCGGAAAGAAAATGTGGTGATAAAGGAAGAGATTGATCTTAAAAATTTTTAAAAAG